CGGTCATGAATCGTGGACCATCACTGAAAAACTTCGAACCCGGGTACAAGCTGCTGAAATAGGCTTTCTTGCACGAGTCGCCGGCTTTAGGTGTCTCGACATGGTCCGCAAGACTGACGCCCGGGAGAGCCGAGGTGTACAGCCTCTGCTTATCCAGATCGAGTAATCACAGCTGCGATGGTTTGGGCACGTGTTAGAAATGCATATAGAAAGGGGGGTGAAACAACAACTTCTGTTCCAGCCAACTGGCAAGCTTAACCTGGTGCAAATATATGGAATGAGTCTAGTCGTCTGCTGCCGAAAATCAGACTCTGGCACAGGATCAGGAACGTTGGAAGCTCTGCCTGACGCGTTTACCTCCGCGACCTGAAAGGAGAAGCGGCGATGGCAGATGAAACCATGAATAAACGCACATTTGACCTATGACCGGCGACGTTGATTATTATTCATAGTTTGCATGGATTGTTGCTGGTTGCTAATGGCAGCATACAATTACTCTTGTATGCTTCCAAGGTAGTCCGGCTGAAAGGGGATATTTAGTGACAGTTGTTCTTTGAAACTGTTAAACACAGTTGTTAAATAACTAATAATAATGCAACTGTTAAATAAAACAGTTGTTCGCCTAATTTCTACTTATTTGCGTCCAGGTTGCCTAATGTATGCTCAGCTTTATGCCAGCTGCATTTCAGAAATCAATCTGCTGGTTATGCGATGGAAATGAACATGTGATTGGACAAAAAGTCACACTGTATTTTAACAAAAATTTCCGTCTTAAAATTGGAATGTTTCTTTTCACTCGGCTTTGCTCATACATCTTGCCAAAGAAAGAGCCCTTAGACTAAGTTTCAAAGACTCAATACTTTCTTAAGAGCACCAATGCTTTACAAGTCTGCGAACTGTGCGATCGGCAAAAGACCGTTTTCTTACAGTTCAACTTGAAGACTATACATAAATCCAATGACGTAACAGAACAATAGTCTTTACTGATCAAGCAACGGAACAGCACTTTCACTTGCTGCTGCTGTTGCTGTACGATACGCAGAAGAGAAATGATTTCGTCAGAACAGCCGTCGCGTCTTCAGACGTCGGATTGCGCAGTTTGATATCGTTCCTGAATTTCGACTATCGATGTTCAGAGTTTCTCACTGAGTACATGGGTCAGCTGGTGTCCTGTAGCTTTTTGCAGGGACACCGTCTGCATATCGATGCTTTGTTTCCTATAAGAAATTTTCTGTCAACGAAATAACTCAGTTTGACTATGAAATTAATTATCATAAAATTCTGTACTAAAATAATACTACACAGTTAGTTTTCCTTGCTTGATCCTTCGTTCTGTACATAATTCCTTCTTTATTCTTCAACCCAAGATTACTGCAGAAAAAAGGTGCAACAGGTGATTATATGAAGGACGTTAGGCTATAGCAGAACTTGCAAGCCATCAGTAAACAAAAATACTACACCGAGCAGATCATCACATTCATTTTGATCATGAACCTCATTTTGTCGAAGAACCTTGTTGAACGGCTGAATTTTTACAAGATAGGGCGAGATGTACTTGTTCCATAAGCATCCATAAACAGTTGGTGCTGCTACTCTAACAGATTCCCTTAATGAAAGCATTAAATGATTCCCATCCACGCGTCAGGTGAAACGTCAGTTTCCATGAATATCTGTACTGACTTAATGCATGTTCCATGATATTTTATGCTACATGTAATGCTGCCGATATAAATCCAAAATTTTTGTAACCCAGTGTGTTAAATAATCTACTTAAATAAAACATGCTACAAATTTGGCATAGGATCTTACAGACGACAAGGAAGTGCCTCAAAAGCATAACTGATCTGAGCCGCTGAACATTTTTCCGGATTTATAATAAATATTGAAGCATCATTTAATAGCGTATTTTAAAAGCAAGTGAGAGATGGAATGAATAAAGGAGAAATTTCTTCGGCTGTTTATGACTTTAGGGAGCCTGAGGTTGCAACTGAACTGAAAACATTTAGTTTTGAAACCAGTGACGGCGCGTAACAAATTTATTGCAATGTTTTGCACAGATAAACATCTCGTTCCTGAAATTATTTTCAGACGAGGTCGGTTGCTCTTCATGGCATTTCTCAGTAAGCAATTTACTGTGTAATCAAACTTATAAAGAACATATCTCTTGAACGAGCCAATTTTGTACCAAACGAAAACTCGAATCGTCAACGGTCAGCTGTGAACTATTCTGATTCTAGAACATGTGAAAATGAGGGGACATTACTTTATTCTTTTAATGTTGAGTATTCACATAGAGAGCCAATTTATTTAGTAGAATTGATCT